AAAAAAAAAAAAAAAAAAAACAAGAAAAAAATGATTCTTAACAAAAGGGTTAACAGGATGAAATGAGCCGGAACGATTGATATATACTTATGTTTATTTTTCTTTACGAACGTACCTTTTTTTTTTGTTTGTTTGTTTGTTTGTTTGTTTGTTTATCAGTATTATTTGTTTTTTTTTTCTTTTTACGTTTTCTTTTCTTTTTCTCTGTGTGTAATAATGCGTGTGTGTTTTCTTCTCAGACGATGATGGTATATAATAAGTTAATGAGTAAACGAACGTTGAGTTTATCCAGGACAATTTTGTTAATCGATATTTAATTAACATTTACAACTATATAAGAATCTTTCCTCATGAAATTTCTAAATACATTACCTGATTTTTGAAAACACATCATCAGGGGTGGACGAGGGGCTGAGAGGATTTAGTAGGAGGCAGCTACAGAAGAAGGAAGAAGTGGGGGAAGGGTGGGCAGGGGGTTGGGCAGGGGATAGTAAAAGGATCATTTATCTCATCTGGTCGTGGATAACACCAACACTCGACACGATTTTACTCAAATATATATAATATACTTTCTATTAACCTTCTGTTCGCGTTAATTAGATATCCTTTTAGATTACCAAATACAAAAACATAGGTGATACAATATATATATATATATATATATATGTATGTATATATATATATAGTATTATAATACAAGGGTGTCTCACGTGTTGTGCTGATTACGATAAAACTTGTTACGTTAATATTTCTCGCGATGATTTCATCGTAAAACTTGCACGATACGGTGATGGCACCTTTCATTCTATTTTATTTTATTTTATTTTACTTTTTTTTTTGTCGAGATACTCACGAATAAAGTTCTTAAAACGTACTTCCTTTTTTTTTTTTTTTTTAACTATTTATATCTATATATATATATAGATATATATGTACATATACATATATATGCACATATCTAGATATAATATATGTATGTATATTTATTTATTTATTATCATTTAATTTCTATTTTATTTTTTATTATTATTATTATTATTATTATTATTATTATTATTATTATATATATATATACGTAGAAATATAATTATTTAGAATTTATATAATGTATATCTCCTAAGAGAGTTTTATTACAACGAGCAATAAATTGTTTAATAAGACGCACTATTAACCACGATTTTTTCTTATCCGTCTACACGAAAATTTCAATCATACTTAGTTCATTTTTTCACTTATCTATTTCACACATGTACACGCATACAACTTCTTCGACACATCTCTCTCTCTCTCTCTCTCTAATTATTTATTTTAATTAATAAATATGTACACGCGATTATTTGTACAACATCGTCTTTTAAAACCCACCCTCCCCCCCCCAATAACCTAATCTCTAAACCCCAGTCCTTTCTACGTTAGTGTTAGTATTTGCTTTATGTTCGATTGACCCTTTTATATTTTCCATATTTCTCTCTCTCTCTTAAAAATAAAAATAAAAAAAGAAATTCGTAATGGGCACGACGAGAGGATTGTTTTTCAAAACTGATAGGGGTTCCAAATTAAACATTTGTATCTTTCTTTACTTTTACTTTTACTTTTTCTTTCTTTCTTTCTTTCGTTCTTTAATTATTTATTTATTTATTTTTTTTTTTTTTTTAATTAATTTTCTTTATCGAACAAATTTCTTTTCGGAGAAAAAAAATAAGTTCGCGACGCGCTCTTTCTGTCTACGATCGAGTGTTTCTTGGTTTGTTTTTTGTTTTTTTTTTTTAAATATAAATGAAATTAAATAAAAATGAATATAAAAATAGTAGAAAACAAAAAGTAGCAATAAAATAAAATAATAACAATAATGGAAAAATTAAAAAGAAAATTTGGTACTTAGGTATTAACACCATGGCACCGCAGCAAAAATTTCGCTAATGCGCCAATAAAGAGCAAGCTTGTTGTTCGCATACAACAACCTTGTTGCTTGCACACAGCAACCGTCAAGGTTACGTTAGGGTTTCATCAGGGTTGCGTCAGGATTTCGTCAGGGTTGCGTCAGGATTTCGTCAGGGTTTCGTCAGGGTTTCGTTAGGGTTTCGTCAGGGTTTCGTCAGGGTTATAGCTACAGCATTAGGTTAAAGAAAATAGAGACTGTTTGGAATCTATATTAAATTCTATGTCGGCCCATTTTCCATCGAAATCCGATTAACTACTTTTTATAAATAAAATCTTTTGAATTTTCAAAGTGTTTTGATTTTAAATCAAATTTTTTATTTTATAATTTGTCCCAACTAAAAAGGGACCTGAAAGAAATAGGATACGAAGACTGCGAATGGAAGGATCGCGCTCAGGGACGGGAACAATGGCCCCGGGATTTGATATTTGCGGCAATGAACTTTCCAATTCCTAATGCCAGTTAATAATAATAATAATAATAATAATAATGATTAGTCGCAACAATTTAAGGTATAGATTGGCGCATTAGCGAAATTTTGCTGCGATGGCGTTAATACGTAAGTCCTGAAAAATCTTCTATGCGTATTCTCGTATATACGCAAACATCCCTTATTAAATATCCCTTAAAAACATCATTAAGCCATGTGTTTCATAGAAACGAAGATTTAATTAGATAAGATTAGATTAGATTAGATTAGATAGACGATAGATGATRAGAAATAAGAGTTCATAAAAAAGCACCACCCTTTTTGTTTTCTTTTTTTTTTTTTTTAATTATTATTTTCTTATCGTTGTTTAGTCATCGTCGTCTCTCTCTCTTTCTCTCTCATTCTCTGTCACTCTCTCTCTCTCTCTTTCTCTTTCTCTTAAGCTCTAAGCATTGCACGCTCTTGATTTTTTTTTTCTTTGCAATTTTTTTTATTTATTTATTTATTTATTTATTTATTTATTTATTTGGGGACGGTTAAGATTCCGAAAATGAGATCCTGATTTTTACTGACTGAGTCTTAGTTTTTTAGAAACGAAGAAAATTATTTTCAATCGTATTCTCGATCATTTAAATTAATCATTGATAATTTGTTTGTTCAACAAAAGTTTATAATCTTTTTTCGAGTACTTATTTCTAAGTCATAGATTTAATATCATAATTATATCTCTCACTCTCTCTCTCTCTCTCTCTCTCTCTCTCTCTCTCTCTCTCTCTCTCTCATTGATAATTTGTTTGTTCAACAAAAGTTTAT